AGTTAAGTTTTTCTGTTACCCATGTCAGCTTGAAGATGAAACTCCCAGATTTTTAGAGATATTGAGCACAGTAAGGAAAGCACTTTTCTTAAAACACCATTTTTAGGTTAGACTATATATGCAGTATTCATAGATATATAAAATAGATAGAAATGTTTCTAAATAGTTAATAAATGCTTCTTATAGGTTGTAAAAAGTTGCTGAATTAATCAGGTTTTTTGTTTGTCAACTGATGTAAACAAATTTGGGTAATGAAAATCTAGGAGGGCTTGGGTCAGATGAGGGATGGAGAAAAGAAAGACTGATTTTAGGCTTGTGGTGTCTGCACTGATGGTAACATAGCAGGTCATGAGCTCACTGATCACAGGGCACAATCCTTTAAAAATCCCCGAGTCTCGGAGAGAATGGCAGATGTCCATGTTACCTATTGTTTGCCTGTCATCCCCTCTCCCGTCAGTTCAAAGAAAACCCCAAACCAACCTCAAAGATGCACTTCAGTGAGAGTTTTCTAGAGCTGCCTCTTTATCTTGCCGAGGGATGCTCAGATACCCTTTTTATGGCTCAGGAGGTCCTGAGGCTGGGACACTGGTCTCCAGAGCATTTCATTTGGTATTTTTGTAGCAATTGCAGCAGCTACATGCAGTGTGAGAAACTATTAAGCCTCACACTTTGATTTCCTAGTGCTTTCCTCTTAATTTTTTACTGTCTCCACACTATCGTCTTTCTCTACGTGGAGGAAGATTAGTTTAGACTCTGGGTTTGTGTGGGGGAGGGCATGGGACATTATGAAAGGGTAATAATGTTGTTTTTCACATATGACCTAAATAAGTCTTTTTAATTTTTTTTTTGAGACAGTTTCCTATCTAGCAAAGGATGGTCTTGAACTCCTTATGGCCAAGGATGACTTGAATTCCAGACCTTCCTGCCCCCACCTCCCACTTGCTGGGATTACAGATGTGTGCCACCATGTCCAATTGAGTGCTGGGCAGGATCAAACCCGCAGTTGTATGCATGGGAGACAAGCACTATAACAACAGAGCTATGTCCCCAGCACTGACTCCACTAAACTTCTTTACCGGCCTTTCCATAAAGCTGGAGTTTTAGGAAAAGATAGAGAGACGATCATTGGCTATAAAATCATCTCCCTACCCCCTGAATGTGAGTGGTTTTTGTCAGGTGGATCAAATCTCGTTTTCGAAGGGAGAGGGACCTACCCTCTACTCTGTGGGAAACGAAACTCTATCCCAGTGGGAAACGAAAGCCCCATCTCCACTTTGACTTGGGGAAATCTCCATGTGTATGATATCACTCAAGTAAGTTAGTATCGCAATGTTTTCAATTTTTTCCTTAAACTTTTTGAAAAGAAAACTTGAAATACATTATTAAGAATTTAGAGCTCAAAGCTTCTTGCGCAGAGACAATTATACATCCTTGTCACAGTTTTAGCTTTATCAAGCTTCACAAGGGTTTTAAAGATACAGACCCATGTCTGTATCTGGGTCCCTCAGAAGATTGGCCTGGGACTGGCAGTAACAGGGTATGTACCAACCTGTGATCATCAGTCATTACCAATGTGACAGCACTCCAATCATGTACAGGATGAGACGGGAAAAGCACATAGAAAATACTGGAACATTAGGAAGTGCCTCTTTGTGGAGAAGAGTGGAAAGACAAGCTAGCCTATGACACCAGTCATGCACAGGGCCAGTGGGCCAGTTTACATTTGGTAAAGTATCCTGCATGCTTTGGTTAATAGTCATAGGCAGATTTTAAGTACTGATGCATGCAATAGTTTTATACCTGAGGTTATATGTTTTGCTTTTTAAAAATTGCCTTTTTACAAACTTTATGCCAGAGTTGATCTATGAACACTCTTTTAAAAATATATGTATCTACTTCTTAGTTCAAAACAGCTTAATTCAGCCAGTCCTGTAAATAGTGAGAGGAAAAGGGCATTGTGCAGGAACATTTGCATAGGGAACCAGTTTGAAGCTATGTTACAAGGTTGAAGTCATGGGTGTTGCCTTTGTCTTCGTTTTCGAAATGAAAGGTCTCAGAAAGATGGCACATGAATTAAATATTCCAAAAGCCTGGTTTCTAGACTGCTTCTAGAAGCATGTCAGGGTAGGAAAGAAATTACTGCCACCACCACAATGCTGTTAAGTGCAATTCAACCTTGTGGAAGCAGTTCAGAGACAAGTGAGGGCACACAGTGGTCATCCACTTTCCTCTGCTTCCCCCAGGAGTGCACAGATAAACTTTATGGTGAGGGGTTTGGGAACTGTGAGATCAGCTACAATTACAGTCAAGCCTTGTCCATGCGGTGAGGATACGCCACCATGATTCATCTACAAAAGAATTTGGGCGTTGATCTAAGAGTCAGCATGATCTCTCAGTATAAATAAGAGTGGCATGTAAGTCTGAGAGTGAGTGTATTCTGAGTGTTCCTACCCAATTCTGGCAGACATCAGACTGGCTGAGGAAGTGCACTTCATTGTTAGATATTAAAGTTTCTGGTGGGCTGTAGAGAGGGCTGTTGGGATGAAGTACAGAGAATGCAGAATCACTGAGATCAACTTTGTTAGGAGCCTCTTTACTCCTCATCTGTACAGGGTATCCTAGAGCCCAGAATGACCATAAACACCGCCCTTCCTGCTTCTATTTCCCAAGTGTTGGGATTACAGCTGTGTACCACCATGGTGGGTTTATGTGGTTCTGGGATGCACTGGGCTACATCCCAAGTCCCTCTTCCTTCTGCCTCTTCTTTGCATGCAGATGTTCTATCAAAACTTGTAACAGTTTGAAACTCAGCAGTGATTAATGGCTTTCTCTGCATTCTCATCCAATATACTGGCAAAATCAGTCCCTGGAAACTACTGAGTGGCCATTGTATGAATGAGTCCCATCCTTAAAAGATCATCCCCAGGGCCTCAAAAAAACTTCCCTAGTCTTTCAAACAGAAAGAGAAAAAGGCAATTTCTTGCTGTGAAGATGAAAAGCCCTTAACACTTCTGCACTTAAAAAGCATACAACAAAAAGGTCTACATTCTGGCCCAAAGAGGTCTTCCCAGTGTTTCTAACAGGCTAGAGCAGTGGTTCTCAATTTTCCTAATGCTATGATCCTTTATTACAGTTCCTCTTGTTGTGGTGACCGCCAACCATAAAACTATTCTTGTTGTTACTTCGTAACCATAAATTTGCCACTGTTATGAATTATAATATGAATATTTTTGGACAGAGAATATTGCCAAAGGGGTTGCAACCCACAAGTTGAGAGCCACTGGTCTAGAAATATCTGTTCTTCAAAAATACATTTGACCTTCACTTTGCTGTTCAGACCAATAGAAAGCATGGAGTATGTATGTATGGAGAGATGGTTCAGCTGTTAAAGGCAAGCGTGAGTTGTTGCTGTGTCCGGGAGCGGATGCCTTTCTGCCTCTGTGACGAGCTGGGGCCAGTACTCCATCGTGGGAACATTGACAACGAAGAGCGAAGCCTGACACTGCTACAGTGGCCTTATCACCTTCTCCTTATATGTCACAAAGCTCCTGGGATAGATAAGCCTCGAGGACTCGTGGTCACCTGTGAACTTCAGGTCTCTCACAATCCCGGGGACTCCACAGAGGGGCTCAGTCAGCCTCTGGGCACATTTTCAATCAGAAGTAGATAAATCCATAGTTAATTAATCTGCTTTGACTCTATGTTTTTTTTTTTTTTTTTTTTTTTTTTTTTTTTTTTTGGTAAGTGCAGTTGTTAGTGGGGTGAGTTATTAATAAGAAAAGAACATGAAATGGTTGGGACCCGGCTCCTTTCAGGAAGAGCCGGGAGGTGGGGAGGGCGCAGGTGAAGAACAGGGCAGTGTGCTAACATCAGAGCTGAGCAAATGGCATTTTGGTTAGTCTTTTGCCAACACTTTTCTGATTCTTCATAAACGTATCTTTTGAAATAACCACTGAGCCCCAAACAGCCACAAAGGAAGCTGAAGAAATATGTGGAAGGTCAACAATTAAGTAAGGTACCTCTTCCAGTGGAAAAGGCCTGGTTCTCACTGAGTGTTTAAATTAGAGCCCGGGCGCACCTCTTCAGAGAACTCTGCCACTCAGTGCAGCTAGGTCACACACGTGACCTGTCCCTCAAGACTGGAGGGGATGGACAGCGTGGGCTATTGTGGAACTGAGGAAACATCAACTTTAGGAAAAACGTATTTATCACGCTTAAGAAATACCATTTAAAATAGTAACAGTTTAAAAGGAGTATCTTGTGCAGGGCAGTTAGAAAGCCAGAAAACAGGGTATGAAAACAATTCAACACAAACTCATTAGAAATCAGAATCACCAAGCTTCCTTCTGTAGGAGAGCGCTGAGGCAGAATCTTGCTTCCCATTGAGATCCACAGAGTCCCAGAAAGCGTGCAAAGGACGCTACATTCAACACATTTACATTCTATGTCAACATGCCTTCAAAACCCTACACTAAGAAAAACTCCTCTCAATTTTTTTTTGTTTTAATTTGGTCCACTGAGCTAACAAATCTGTCTCAAATCTTCTAGCTCCCACCCTGCCCCCAGTTGGAAACTGGAACAACAGACCCGAAGTCCAGCAAGGCATTAAGAAGATATTAAAGTGCTTATTTACAATCCTAGACAGGATTCCATTGGGAACAGCAAAAACGTCTAGTGCAAAATCTGCTGTTGCCAGCAAAGCTCTCTCTCTGGAAACAAAGGCTTACAGTAAAAAGTTGAAAGGGAGGAGGGGGAAGCGATGCCTGCCTTTACTGGGTTGTACATGTGCATGCGTCAATGGCCCAGACTTTGTTCAGTCTTGCAAAAGGGGCAGACAGCTTTCAGACAGCCTGAGTTCACTGCCTGCAGATCAACTGTCTTCCTAGGTCCCCTGAACAGAGGCTGCTCAGATGTGCCACCGCTGTGAGTCCACCAGCTGTGACTGGGGATGGAATAACTCAAAGTCCACTCCTAACTTGGAAGAGTATACACAGTAATGTTATCTTGGTTTGTCTTGAGAATCTTAGTTCCTCTACTGAGCCCAACCTTGACTTTGTGCTTATGGATCTGAACAGAGGCTGGGGATTGTCTATAGTAATCGATTCCCTTGGGTTACATGACCTTTGACTCTCTGCTTTAGCCTTAAAAAAAATCTCTTTTTGGAAATCCATAATAAAATAGTTTTGTCCCTTTTTAGTATAGTAACAGATGAGGGCTTATTCTGTACTTCCTCCTTTCCATTTAAGGATCCAAGTTGAAAGCTCTTAGGAGGACATCCAAGTCACCAAGGTTGGCTGCCTGGAAGAGTTCTGGCTGGTCCATCAGTGACAGCGCAATTCTGAGGGCAGCCCAGATGTTCCCCGAGATGGCAGGGTGAGGGACTTGCTGCTGGTTCCTGCTCTTTCTTTGCAAACTGAGGGCAGTGAGAAAATTGCTGACCGCTTCTCTGAAAGGGAGAAATGCACATCTTACACCGCGGTGAATCTCACAGTCAGCACACTAAGATAAACAGTCTCCTCTCCAGGGTGAGTGGGCTCCCAGGAATGGCTTTCAGGTTCCCTAACTACTCTCCTGTGGACAGCTATTGTTAAATAGAGTGGACCAGAAAGAACAGGGAAGCCCAGAGAGGGAGGTGAATGCCAGGGACGACTGCAGCTGTTATCTGTGTGCAGAAATGATCTACACTACCTGTCTTTAAGGGGAGAAAATGGCCCTCCAAAAAAGCAAGGTGGCCTAGATTTGCCTGACAGCGGCAGAAATAAACAATTGTGCTTCATGGCTACAGCACCTGGCCTTCGGTCCCAGCTGTTCACCCTTAGGCAAATTTCTTTGCCAAGGTTCAGTTAAGTGAATAATAGGATAGTAGAAGTCACTTTTTAGGGTTTTGTTGTGAAGTGGCCTGGAGTAGATTCATGTGAAAACTCTTACTGTTAAGATCAGTGTGTGTGTGTGTGTGTGAAAACTCTTACTGTTAAGATCAGTGTGTGTGTGTGTGTGTGTGTGTGTGTGTGTGTGTGTATCCATCCCGGTCTGGGGAGGCTGGAGCAAATGATTTTCGTTAGGAAACTGAGCTGGCGTGTGACCTTTTTCACTCTCAACCCCTTCTCTGCTCAGTCACCTGCTCATGCACATGAGGCACAGCAGACAGAATACAAAGGTGGAGAATTGGCTCAAGGAAGCAAGACCTAAGGGAACTTTCCAATGCGCACCACACTTCTTCCCTGGCACAGCTTGGCTTGGGAAGTAATTTCTTGTAAAGCACGCCATTTCTGTGGATATGTAACGTTTTATTACTTTTCAACGAATCTCTTAAAATGCTCTAGTTTAATTCCTGACACCACAAGTTTTCATAGGTAAAAGTCACAGTAGCTAAAGGTTTTGGCCTTTTTTAGCATCTGTAGGAAGTATAAAGGCACCTTGAGAACAGGGGTGGGGGTGAGGGTGAGGGTAGGGGTGAGGGTGGGTGGGAACAGCTGAGATCTTGGATGTTCAATGACTTTGCAGCTTTTTTGGGGGCCTATAATTATGCCAGGGCATTATTAAACAATAACCCATCATTTAATTTCTTTCCCCCTAACTTTATGGCATTTTAAATAATAAACTCACCATGTCATTTTTTTCTTCCCTAACTAATTATATCTGTATACCACATTTATAACAACTGTATTCTTGGCTTGTCTTTGCCAAACACTTGCTCTGGACCTCCCCAGGCTGTATTATCAGATCCCCCCTGGCTTTTTCCATCTCCACGGTTCTTTTTTCCTTAAATGGAGGGATTAAAGGTTGCACTATTAATAGTCCATACAGACTTACATGGGTGTTGGGCCCCCGGATAACCTGCCTGAAGCCAGGCATACTTCACCTGTAGGCACCCAGGTTGATGCAGCTGATTCCCAGGTTGTATCTGGAGCGGATGAAGCCTGGCTGGATCTCCAGTGCTCTCGTGTAGGCCTCCACAGCTTCCTCACTGCGGTCTCCATTTGCCAGGGTTGCCCCAAGACGGTTCCACAATGAGTAATCCTTATGAGAAAGACCAGAGCTATCTAATACCTCGGAGCACCACAGTAGTGTCCCACCTCTTCCCTTTACAGGTGAAGCAAGACAGCTGAAGGGTCCGTAATGAGCTGAATTATTAAATATTCTCCCTGGTTAACTTGATGCGAAGGACTTTTATTCCTTAAAGATCAGTGGTCACCTGCTGTCCTGTCATTAATGTTTCCATTTTGGGCATTTTGTTATGGAAAACTGCATGGTATATCATCTGTACTTGAAATCACCAGCAGCAGAGATAAAATGTAGAAGGAATGTAAGGAGTATTGCCCATGAAAGTTTGTTTGTTACAAGTGCGCCCCAATCCTCACTCCAGGGTGTTTTGCTGTGCTGGGATTCCTTACCTCTGGCCGAACAGTTAAGGCAGCATTAAATGCATCGATTGCTCTGTTGAACTCCCCGCTCAGGTGGAACAGAACTCCAAGGCCTGTTTGTAGGTCTGGATCTATCATGTCACCATTTTGGTGGGCAGCTTCCAGGTATAATTCCTTCACTCCTTCCAGAACAGAACTATGAAGGGAGAATCTGATTTAGTGCCCAGGAAGTTGAATCACCAGGAGCCAGAGCTACAGGTGTTTGATACAGTTACTGAGAGCTGAACTTGGGTCCTTTGGAAGAGAACTATGGTCTCTTAACTGTTCTTCCCCCAGATTGAAATGCTTTCCTTAAAATAGTTTAGGGACTGGAGCAATAGCTCAGTGCCTAAGAGTGCTTATTGCTCTTGTGTAGGACCTGGGTTTGATTTCCAGCACCCATATGGTGGCTAACAATGATCTGTAACCCCAGTTCCAAGGGATCAACATCCTCTTCTGGCCTCTGCAAGCACCAAGCACAGATCACAGGCAAAATTCCAATATGCATAAAAATAATGAATATATACCTGGATTATATACCGGATATACTGGATTATAAAAACAACATGGTCAATTGTCACAAATAGTCAACAAAACATATAGAAGCCATGTTAAGTAAGGCCCTCATGGGAGAGCGCCATTGATCCAGTGTTTGATCCTTGAAGCTGAGCTGAGCAAGGATTCAGTGAGATTCAATTATGATTTCCTCCAACAAGGGACCTAAGTCTAGGCAACTATAGTTCTCAATGTATTGGCATTAACTCCAAAGCACCTGGATTTGAGATACGGTACTTGAATGGCCATAAATTATGTCTAAAGGACAGCTTCTGGGGTTTAGATATGTGTCTCCCCAAATACCAGCCTGTAGGGCTGTAGGGAGGTGGTAGATCTTTTGTAAGGTGGGGCCCGAGGGAAGGAAGTTAGGTCATGGAAACAGAGCTTAAATAGGATATGGGGCACCTTGCTGTCTCCCCTTTCTTCCCAGCCACCAAAAGGTAAGCTACTTCCTAGACTATGTACCTTTACTTTGAGTACCACCCCATCATGGTTTCTTTGGTTTGTTTGTTTGTTTGTTTTTGAGACAGGGTTTCTCTGTGTAACAGCTTTGGCTGACCTGGAACTCACTTTGTAGATCAGGCTGGCCTCGAACTCATAGAGATCCACTTGCCTCTGCCTCTCAAGTGCTGGGATTAAAGGCATGTACCACCACTGCCCAGCTCTCATAACAGTTCTTAAAACAATAGGCTAATTGACCATTGTTTAACCTTTCAAAAATGTGAGCTTAAAGAAACCTTTCCTCTTTGTAAGTTGCTTATCTCAGGTATTTTGTCACAGTATTAGGATTCTACATAGAATGAGGACAACCTGTCAACTGGCGACTTAGACATCCGTCGAGTGAGGCCTGGAGAGCCCTTCTTGTTCTTTACAAGGTGTTTGTACTTTGGGTTCTGCTTAATCCAGTTCTTCAGAGCCTCACAGGCATCCTGGTGATGGCCAGTGTTGGTGTAACTCACAGCTAAGGCCATCAGAGCTTTCAAGTTGTTGGGCTGCAACTCCAGGCACCTCGAAAGAAGACAAAACAGATCAACTAGGCAGGCTTGAAACCTTTATTTACTTAAAAATTATTGATTAAAACTGGAAAATACTTTATTTCGAAGATCAAAGAGTCTCTCTCTCTCTCTCTCTCTCTCTCTGTGTTTTAAAAGTAGTTAAAACATCCTCATGACAGCTGAATTTGTAACGTTTGTGTTTTAAAAACATTTTTTTTTTTGGTCTTGTTTTTCCAGACAAGGTTTCTCTGTATTTCTTTGGAACCTGTCCTGGAACTCGCTCTATAGACCAGGCTGACCTCGAACTCACAGAGATATGCCTGCCTCTGTCTCCTGAGTGCTGGGATTAAAGGCATGTACCACCAACTCCCTGCAAAAACATTTTATGTTATGATTTTATGTGCATGAGTGTTTTGCCTGCTTGTATATCTATGTACCATGTTTAGGTCTGGTACCCATGGAGTTCAGAAGAGGACACTGGATCTCCTGGAAATGGAGTCACAAATGGTTGTGAGCTACCTTGTGGGTGCTGAGAACTTAACTGGAGTCCTCTGCAGGGGCAGCCAGTTCTGTTAAACACTGAGCCCATTTGTCCAGATCTGGTTTTGATAACTTTAATAAACTTTTCTAAAGTGTGGCTGCTATATGATACAAAGAGAAAATTACTTAAATGTGGCTGCAGTATCTTAGCTCCCCTAAACTGGGCAAGATGAAAGGCTGTACAATGTTTCACAAAAGAGAGGGGAATCTCTTTTTCTAGACTACTAATGCAGGCTTGTACATGTCCCAGGCTATTGCTGCCTCTAGCAAGACTTTCCAAATTTAGAAGGGCAAAAGAGGGACTTTTCACTACACACATTCTAGTACTGGGGTTGCAGTGAGACCTCATGTGGGAAGGTCTGGCAAGTCCTCAGATGATGGAAACCCTGGTAGGATCTGCCTAAGACTTGGGGTAGCAAGTTCCCAGTGCCTCAGAAACCTAGCAGTAAAACCCGAGTGTGCATTAGAACCCTGGGAGATTCCAATGCTAATGAACCTTGCTTCCTCAGTCAATCAAGACTCAGACTCCAAGGCATCTTAAAAAATTAATTCCATTTGTATGCATGGTGCACTAGATTTGCATCATGTGGAATAGGGGTTTAAATCCTGTCTCTTTTATACATGATCTATGAGGCCTTGGCTTTCCCTAGTTTCCAGTGTCTCTCAGCTCTCTTGGAAAAACAAAACAAAACAAAACAAAAACAAACAAACAAACAAAAAATAACTCCCCAGTCAACTTATACTATAAGATACTTATCAAATCTTGAGGTGAAGAATTCTGGGAATTTAAAGCCCTCAAACTCCAAGTATCTAGGATCTTACATTCTAAGATTTGGAAGTTCTAGAATTTACACGTACAAGTTATACACATCTATATCTCACACATTTGTATATGTATATATGTTTTCTTCCTTCCTATGGCATTACATTAACAGTACATACAAGAAACACATGGAGAGTACAAGTATGTTTGGTGGAAACTGTTTTATTCAAGGGTTTAGATGAGGGCTCTTGTTAAGGGGGAGAGTCTACACTTATGCTCTGTCCCCTCCTTCCACCTGAAGTGATCTCCACCTGCAGGCAGTAACTTGAACACATTTTTTTTTTTTTTTTCCTGAAGAAAACTTTTGGAAGTTGCAAAAAGTTTGAGCACTGAAAGTCTGTTGATTCAATGAGTCTGACTTCTGATTGCTTTCAACACAGACTTTATTTGGTTCTAGACAACATGAGTTGCTTTGTAGACTGAGAAATGTTATGGGAAAATTATCCATTCAGAGTCAGTGTGAGTGGAATGTGGCATCTCAGCACAGGCCTTGGACAAATTCTTCACACTCCAATTGGAAGAAGAGCACAGAGGCAAAGTTCCCCCTGTCCCCCAGGCCTACCTCTGGAGGGCGACAATGGCTGCTTGTTCATTTTCATTCTCTGCCTGGGTTATACCAAGAAACTGCCATGCCTATGAAAACAAAACAGAACAAAACAAAACACCAACCAAATAAGCAAAAACCCAAACCAACACAAGAAAACAAACAAACACAAAACAAACTGCTAACATTGCAAAACGAAGCAGGCTGTTTGCCATTTTAATTAGTTTGGTTGTGATGCCCTATGGGGAGCAAGCTTAATTACAGGGAGGACCCACCCACCACACACTCCAGCCGTACTCTGAACTGACTATGATTCCTTGCTTATGTACTCATCTCTGCAAATGCTCCACAAAGGTGTTTTCTTAACTGCTGCACATTTCCCCAACTCGTCAACATTTTATGCTAGGACTCAGAGCAGTTTTGAGGATACAATAGATGTTCTATAAAGGTTGGGTGAGACCCAGACAAAAGTCATATTCATTCCTAAAATCCTCGGGCAAACCTCATGTTCATGTTTTATTTATTTATTTTTAATGGATACATGGTCTCATGAAGCCCTGGCTGGCCTAGACCTCTCTATGTAGACCAGGCTAGCCTTAAACTCACAGAGCCCTGCCTGCCTCTGCTCCACCCCGCAGTATTGAAATTAAAGGTGAGCACCACCATGCCTGGCTCAGGTTGGCTATTTTTGTGTTTCCTGTGCTCAGTTTTTATCTTAGGAGACTCTGGATCTCAAAGATTAGAAACTCAGTTAGAAAGCAGGTAATGCATGGTTTTCTAACAGGATCAACTTGAGCCAAGGGAGCTCCTTTGTAAACCTTGGTGAAGATGCACCCTGCAGCATCCCTTCTCATTCTGACTTAGGCACTTTCCCAGTCTGAAAGAATGAAGGGGGATGCCACCTCAGCATCTCCAGGGTCCTGAAGAATTGCTGCTTCCATGAACAGGATGGTGACAGGCAGGTCTCCTTCTTTCAGCCTTTTTAAGCCTTCCTCAAATGCTCCAGGCCAGTCCTTGAAGGGGTTTTCCGTGTGGAAGTAATAACCCTGTGACACAGAAGAAGGCACAAAACACATCTTTTAATAATATATTTTTTTCATTTGCAAATATTTAACACAAAATATGCAAGTACTTGTCTAGTATTTTTTTAAATGAATATTCAACCTAGAAGCCTCACACACAATCTTGAAATTTACACCCTACTTAGTTTTGGATTGTGGTAATCCTGTGTCACTAAAATGATTTACATAGATATGTTAAATATATTTACTCAGTCCTTACTGATGAACATCTTGGTTATTTATGGTGGCTCATGCCTCCATTGTTCTGAACAATGGAGGTTGAGGCAGGAGGATTACCCTGAGTTTGAGTTTAGCCTGGGCTACAAAGTAAGCTCTAGCCCAGCCTGAGCTAAAATTTTGTTTGTTTGTTTGAGACAGGGTATTGATTTGGAACCTGTCCTGGAACTAGCTCTGTAGACCAGTCTAGCCTTGAACTCACAGAGATCTGCCTGCCTCTGCCTCGGGAGTGCTGGGACTAAAGGCATGTGCCTGGCCAAAATTAACCACTGTTTCAAAATTTATTTATTTTCTTAAATAAAGCTACAGTGAAAGCTTCATTGTTCAGGATTGTTTTGTACTTGTTTTGTTTTGATTTTTCTCCTTATGCTAGACTTTGAGAACTGCTTTTTTAGACTGTATATATGTAGTTCGTCTATTCTGGAGCTAAACTATCTCCTGTAATATTTGAGAATATTATTTGTTGCTGTTTCACTGTCATAAACAATCAGAAAATGTTTTTAATTTGACTGATACAAGCACACCTGGTGATGAAGTTACTATGGTCTAAGGAAGATCAATGGAAACATTTGTGTGTCATGGGTGACTAGAAAGGTGAAACAATGTGTCAATAGCCAGAGGATCTGCTGGCACATGATGATGGGTGGTCATGCCTCAGGTGTATGGATTATAACCTGGGGTCTGGGAGCCCACAGTGTCCTCCCTTTCTTTACCCATACTGCACATTTATTCTGTGGGACAGGTAGTTACTTTAAAAAAATATTTTTTTGGGGATTGCCTGACCTCTTGAGGGACAGAGGCCACTGGGAAGAGAGACACACTTGAATGACAATGTAAATCCCATAAAATCAGATTGACCATTACATCCCCTCTACCTAGGGCAGAGTATCTGCTACACAAGTATTTGCTGTATTGAGTAAAATACAGCAATATTATCCTGGACTTATTTTATCCTGAATATTATTCAGGACTGAATGCTATTGAAACTCATTCCATATCCCTAAACCATGAGGTAAATTTATCAATAAACATGTTTGCGTGTGTGTGTTTCTGTTTAAGAAACATCCATTTCTCTGTCTCTCAGCATACTTTCAGTAACTCTAGTGTCTTCTTTTTCCTAAGTGTTTTTAAAGGTGGAGATCTCAAAGCAGACACGACTTAGTGGGCAATCTGGTTAGTGGTTAACTGTACTTTCCTATTTCCCAGGGCTCTTAGCAGTGGAGTATCATTGCATAGTCCCTTAAGCATGACCTGGTCATGTGAAGAGCATTCTTTGCATAAGCCTTTGCTGATACTGTGAGAAGCAGCCCAAAGCCTCGGAATCACCTCCAGGGTTTTATATGACCAGGGCAGGCGGCTGGTGATGAGCCCTGGCAGGTTTTGGGTAGGTAATAAACGGTGGGAACAGTAATAAACAGGGACATTTCATTCTATGCTGGCTACCCACACACGCCAGAGTTACCTGTTTCCCATTGAGTACAATTTCTCCTAGGTCACAGAGTACTTACTGACTGGTCCATGACATGCGGACTGATGAATCTTGAGACACTCATTAGATGAGAGGAAAGACTGAGTTACCTTCTCACTGGCTGACACAGTGACTTGGTTCTGGGCTTCCTGGTTCTCAGATATCCAATTCCTCCGGGCCATTTCTTCCCACTCTGCCTGCATCTTATCCCAGAACTCCGTATCTGACTAAGAGACAGGAGAAACGAGAGAGTGGAATGGAGATCACATTGTGTTTACCTGGTTTGTTTCTAGAGATACATTTGCCTCATAGGTCAAGTGGGAGGAGGAGGATGAGTAGGCAGGCGACACCAGAAGCAGGTGGATCTTTTGCAGGGTGCCCAGTTGTCAAAGTGGATCAGCCTTGACTTTTTAAAATATTAATTTAATTTTGATTAATTTTTTAAATTCTCAGGTACTCCAGGCTGGCCTCAAACTTGCTATGTAACTGAAGATGATTTGAAGTTTTGATCATCCAGCCTCCAACTCCCAAGTGCTGAAATTACAGGAATGCAGTATATTGGGTTTATACAGTTCTGGGAGTCAAACCCAAGATTCATACATTCTAAGCAAGCACTCTACCAACCTAACCACATCCCCATCCCCAGCTATGATTTTCCCCAGCATAAAATAACCACTAACATCATTCACACCAATGAATCGGCTAAACACACACTACAGTTGCTCCTGACCGTAAGTTGGCGTTATCAACAAACAAATCCATAGCAAGCTTAAGATACTATAGAGAGACATTAATGAATGTAACCTCCTGAACATTGTGCCTTAATGCCACAGCCCACTGCAAAGTAGAGAACATTAACTCTGGCTGTTGTGTGCTGCCCAGTATGATGCCCTACTGCATATGTATGTTGGTCCAGGTAAAGGCCAAAATTCCAAGTTCAATTTCTAGTGAATGGATGCCACTTATTTACCATTGTGAAGTTAAAATATATTGTATTGAGTTATCCTTCATTGGATACCTCTGCACTTAAAGTCAGTTTCAAATGTGGTAGAGACATATTTTAAGAAGGAAGGCCCAGGCCTGAGTTGCTCCTAGAATATAAAGAATTGGAGCAGCACTCTTGGACTGGCTGGGCTTGGATGGCCCTGTGTAAAAACAGGAGAATTGACTTTATCATATGTTAAATAGCATGCATGGAGGAAAGTGAGCCAGAGTTACTGCCCCAATGAGGGAGTCACAGGATTTCAATTCTGCTTGGCTTCCAGGCCTAGGGCCATCTACTTGTGTCGAAGTTTGCCTCCTAGCGCTAAAGAAGAGCCAGGGGGAGCTTGTGGTTGGCTATGCACCTTCATATTTTCCAAGGCAGGGTGACTGTACATCAATATATATTGTTTCCCTTTTACCTTTCCTGTTCATGTCCTGTCAGGGAAGCCCAGTTGAAACTCTTACTTCATGAAAGACAGTGTAGGCGCCCAAGGCAGAACTCTCTGCTAGAGCTGCCCCTGGCTGGCTTCAGAGTCATTTAGTCTGAAGAGAGTACTTTAGGTGGCCAGATCAAGGGGAAAGGGTGAGTCTCTCAAGGGACTCAGGAGCCATTTAATCTAGGGTGGTACTTTTTAGGGGTAGAGAAAGATGGAGGGGTTGTGGGTTCTGATTGTAGGATACTGGTGTACACCTTCTGGCTAGCACAGTGATTTCACCTCAGAATCGCGAGTAAGGGAGGAAGCTGGGACCCTGATTCCCACTGGAGGGGAAACAGTGTGACTGCTGGGGATCACTTTGGGCCCCCTGGCTGTTAGATGTGGGGAGATCCTTGTGCCCAGCGCTGTATTGGCCGCCCAGACTTTGTGTCCCAGCTGTGTCACTTTACAAGTGCTTGGGGATCATTTGTTCTCTTTAGACAAGACAGAAGCAGCAGTTGGAAGTGTTCTGCGGCCCCTCAGTCTGGAGCTGAGATTCAGGTTCTTCACCTGCACATCTCAAACAGCTCCAGAACCTTGAGTCTGGTGACAACCTGGCTGAGGGTGACCTCCCTTTCACCCTGCTGGCAGCCCGGGCGGTACCAACGAGAATGCTTCCTCAAAGTTGTCTGAATGGTCATCATGACCATATTTATTTTGGACCCAAACATTTAGGTAATTGAGGGTCAGCAAATGTGACTGAATAAGCTACCGAATAAGCAGGAGGTCTTCATGTCTTCTCCGTCAGTTCTGGAACATTCATTCCTACCACAGAAATGGGTTCTGTTTGGCAGAGCCCTTCCCTCCCTCATGGAAGCAGCAGGTGGGCTGACACTATGTCCGAGATGTTGGAAGCAAAAGCAATGGCCGTCAGGTATACGGGCTAAGGTGGGGGATGATGAGAAAATTTTCTTTTTAATGTGTGTTCCTAGTAGACACCATCAAGAATCTCAAACAACAGCAGCCCTGGTAACATGAGGAAGTACAGTAGCATGTCACGAAGGGCAGAGAGGCCCAAGGAGCGGAGGGGCTCTTGTTTCAAACTTTGTATTTCCCGAATTTTCTGTGTTATATTTTGCTTTTGTAGTTATTTAATAAAGCAAAGCAACAAAACCCCCAAATAAATTGTTTTCCTTTCTTTTAAGTCCCTTTAAGCCTTATTATGATCAAACACTAAGAAGTCTGGAGAAAATATGAGGGGGGACTACTTTCTTTAACTTTTCAAAGATACAGGGTCAGTCAGTCTGCAGTGGAAAAGAAGAACCTGCCGAGGGAATCTTACAATGCTTTGTTGATTCCCATCACCCCATCCAGCATTTGAGAAGCCACTGTCTTCACATCCTTAGGAAGACAGCCACACATCCCTCTGGAGAGTCCTTGGGATCTGAAGCACTGTTTAATCTGAATGGAAGATAGAGCGATTTCGCATCACAAATGCCGGGGTCACCTTCCCTGTGTTCCACACTAGAGGAGTTTTTGTGTAAATTCTACCTCTGTGGGAACCAGAACTTCAGGTGAGGTGGGGCTGCTGGGCTTCCATATAATGAGATTCAGCCGGATTTACTGTTTCCACTTAAACTAAGTCACAGCAGACTAATTGAGCTGCAGAGCACAGCTTTCACTTAATTACAGAATACTTTTAGCACCATCAATTTCCACTCAGACTCAAAACCCAGACTTAACTGCAGTGGCTACAATTAGTGCAGCTCCCTTCCCCATTTTTAATGAAGTTGAGGAAAACCTCCAACATGTTTGAATTTTAAACATTTTAGACATGACCAAGGGGTTTTATTTACTGATGATTTCCTTGGCTGTTCTGGGTTTTAGTAGACTATTTTTCCAGAATTGACATTCACCAATCTGCTTATACCAAGTAGTGGTTTGAATGAGAATGGCCCCCATTGGCTCCTATTAATGGTTCCCAGTTGGTGAGAGAATTAGGAGGTGTGGTCTTGTTGGAAAAGGCATGTCGGGATGGGGGGGGGACACTTTGAGGTTTCAAAAAGCCCATCTCATTCCCAGTCAGCTCTCTCTGCCTTATGCTTACGAATCAAGATACAAGATGTGAGCTCTCAGCTGCTCCAGCACCATGCCTGCCTGCCTGCTGCCATGCTCCTTGCCATGATGGTCATGGACTCCAACCCTCTCAAACTGTAAGCTCCAAATAAGCTCTTCTATAAGTTGTCTTGGTCATGGTGTCTTCTGACAACAATTAAAAAGCTATTAAGACACACTAGAAGCGAATTATTGGTTGAAAATTGTTTCCATTTTAATGACAACCTTCTATTGGTATCAACCTTCTATTGGGATATACACATATAATGATAGGAAAACAGCATTCCCTTCAGACAGGCCTAGGCTCAACTCCTTGCTCCATCTGTGACTGTCTGCCAGGACCTTTCACCTCTCCAGGTGTTGTTTTCCTTATTCTCAAAATGTAGACACAAAAGAAATTTGGGTGAATTGTTCTGATTACTAAATGAGAATGATGTCAGTGGACTTTGTGGATGTCAGTCACAAATGGGAAATCTACATCTCAGGCCTGCCCCCAAGGGGAGGTACTATCTCAAAGGAGGGAGCAGAAAGATTGTAAGAGACAAGCTGGGGAGGACTGGAGTGATACAATATCTTCTGGGCATGATAGGGCTGCTTCACTCATGATCTCATGGGAACTGTAGCTGACTCACAAGACCAAGGCACTCAGCACTCCAGCATGACAAAGGCAGAGGCTCGCCACCCTAGCTCCTAAGGGAGGAATGGCAAAGAGCTGATGGCTCCTAGGGGTTTGAGAGGGGTAGACAATGCTCCAGTAGATGGCCCCATTTTAATCAGTGTATGAGCAGCATGTACTAGAACCAGTGGGTAAAACAAACAAACAAACAAACAAACAAACCCAACCAACCAAAGAAACAAAAAACCACCACAAAGTTGGGAGAGGCTGATAGGTTATAGGGATGGAGGAGGTAGATATGATCTAAAAACATTGTCTGAAAGATTTTAGTTTGCAGAGCAAGGATGTAAGAAAAGGGCAGGAGAATAATTCTTGCAAGTGGAATATAGAAAATCATAAGGCATGAACATTGACACGGGAGGAGAGAACCAAAATTATGAAAACAAAAAAGTTACTATGGTGAGGGGGCTAATGGTCATGCTAGACTGATCTTGTTAAATAGGGGTAGTTACAGCCAAGAGAAAGCCAGAGTATGAAAAAAAAGTTTCTCACAGGCGTTGCCCCACAACAAGGAAGAAGATCCTCAACCCTGGAACAAATGATCCCAGATAAACAGCCCTGTCTGGGTCACTCCTGGCCAATGGACAGTCTGGGGACTTTCCAAGTCATTCTATGGTTTATGCTTTGAATAAGAACAGATCATACCTGGGTGATCTCTCAAATATGAGATCATACTTTGTATTCAATCACCTTGTGCCCCATGCATGTATGCTGATTGTGGTTTGTCTCTATAAAAAGAGAGCCTGAACCCTTTGGGGGGTGTGCAGCTTAACCGGAGATTGCTGTCACCCAAGTGCACTCGTTCAATAAACGCCTCTTGCTTGTTGCATCTCCTGGTTTTGGTGTTTGTGTCACAGGGCTCTCCCACTGGCCCATCAGGACCCCAGAATTAGGGTCCAACAATATGGAATATGATATTCTCAAAATAACTTAAATATTATGTTAAAAAGTAAGTATTCTCATTGTATTTTTATATCATTGAGAAAAACAGAGTGCAATAAATGTTTTTACAACCTCAATTCAAATATCTATGCTA